CCTCCCGCGAGGTGGCCGTGTATGGGGCCCGCGCTCGGCCGAGCCGCGGTCCCGCGGGGTCGGCGCAGCCTCGGCGTCGGCCAGGGCCCTGTCGGACAGGGCTCGTCTGGGCTGCCCAGGGAGCCGCCGCGGCCTCCTCGCGCTCTGGGGCCACCGCCGTGCTGGCAGCCGCCGCCGCGCCGTAGCCGTCTCCTGCTGTTGTTCCTCGTGGTCCTCATGGTCCTCGTCATCGTCATCGTCGTCCTCGTCGTCGTCGTCGTCGTCGTCGTTTTCGTCGTCCTCGTCGTCCTCGTCCTCGTCCTCGTCCTCGTCCTCGTCGTCCTCGTCCTCGTCCTCGTCGTGGGGGCCGGACATGTCGGACCGCGCCACGCCCCCCCCACTCCCGCTCGGCCGCGGACGCCCCCCAAAGGCGGCGCCGCGGCAGCGGGCGCCGGTGGGGGCGAAGCCCCCCCCCCGAGCCGCACTCCGCGAGGCCGCTGGCGGCGTCGGCTACTGGGAACGCCCCGCGGGCCGCCTCGGCAGCAGCGCGGGACCTGGAGGGGCCGGCCATCGCCTTGGCATCGCTAGGCCGTGTGTATTTTTCCCCTGGAGCATCTTGGATCATCTGGCCAAAAAAAGAGACACGCACGGGATGGAGAAATGCACCGTGGATGGGCGTCCGAGCGCCGGCAAGGCGCTGACCTCCCGCCACCTGCCCTGGCAGCACCTGCAAGCGGCCGCTGTGGCCACGCGCCAGCGCTCCCGCTCCTTGCCCCAGCAGCAGGGCCGATATCCCTTGGCGGCGCGCACAAAGGGGTGGAGGGAGGGGTGAGGGCTTCTTAGAAGGAGGCTGCTTCTTAGAAGGCGCCGGCCTGACATCCACAGAGAAGGCCCGCGCCTTCCAAGAAGCAGGGGTACTTCTAAGAAGCCCTCCCCCCTCCCCCCACCCCCGTGTGCGCGCCGCCAAATCCTCTTGCGGTGCATCGGTGCGGCCGCGCGTCGCCCGTCGCCGCAAGGGCGGGTCCTGCCCCGCGCCTTCGCCTGCCGTGGCGCCGGCTAGTGATGATGCTGCTGATGATGATGCTGATGATGATGATGATGATGATGATGATGATGATGATGATGATGATGTTGATTATGCTGATGATGATGATGATGATGATGATAATGGTGGTGATGATAATGAACATGATAATGATAATGATAATGATGTTGACAATGATAATGATAACGATGGTGGTGATGATGATTATTATGATGATGATTATGATGATGGTGATGACGCTGGTGATGATGATGGTGGTGATGATCATGATACTGATAATGATGATGATTGTGATGCTGCTGCTGCTGCTGCTGCTGCTGCTGATGATGATGATGATGATGATGATGATGATGATGATGATGATGATGATGATGACGATATGATGATGATGATGATGCTCCGCTGCGCCTTCTCGAACACCCAGCGGCCCCACTACCGCATCGCCAGTGGGTCTTGGCCTGGCAATCTCCTTCTCCAGGGCTGGCTCCTCGACGTGCTCGGGTGCGGCCTCCTCGACGGCGTACCCCGTAGACGCACCTCGATGGCCTTCTCGGCCCCGGCCTTTTCCGCAGGGGCCTCTGGTTCTGCGATCCCCTCGTCGGCAACATCGCCCCCTCCCAGCAGCGCGGCCAAGAGGCCTTTGTGTTGCTATTGTTCGAACGCCTGGCCCAGCGGAGGGCTGGGAGGAGGAGGAGGAGGAGGAGGAGGAGGGGGAGGAGGAGGAGGAGAGGAGGAGGAGGAGGAGGAGGGAGGAGGAGGAGGGAGGAGGAGGAGGAGGAGGAGGAGGAGGAGGAGGAGGAGGAGGAGGAGAGGAGAGGAGGAGGAGGAGAGACCCCAGCCAGCGGAGGAAGAGGAGGAGAAGGAGGAGGAGGAGAAGGAGGAGGAGGAGGAGGAGGAGGAGGGCTGGGAGGCTCTCGCGGCCGATTCCCACCCCGCGGCCCCACGGCTGGCCGACAGGCTCTTGCCCTGGAGAGCGCCGCGAGGAGCTCTCTGCCGCCACGCCGGCGACTGCCGCGCAGCCATGGGGGCCTTGCGGGGCCCGGGCCCCGCCCGGGGGTGGCCCGCGCTCTGCCCGCCTCGGGGCCTCCCCGGCGGGCCTCCGGCAGCTCCGCCGCCCCCGGCGCCTCGACGACCTCCGGCAGCTCAGAGCGTGAATTACCTACCCCGCTTTCGCTTCCAGGAGAAACCGAGTCATACCACGCGCCTCCTCGTCAAGCGACCTGACCAGTACGGGCCGTAGTTTGGCACCGCTTGGCATCTCTTCTAAGCGAGGGCGGTCAAAAGCGAGGTAGGCTTGTTCTCCCCCCAAAGCTCCGCCGCCCCTGCAGCGCCTCCTGGAGCACCCTGCACCGCCGCCCCCCCCCCCCCCTCCTCGTGGCGTGCGCTCTGGGGCCGGCCGCCCCGGCGGGCCTCCGGCAGCTCCGCCGGCCCCGCGGCGCCTCGACGGCGTCCGGCAGCTCCGCCGCCCCTGCAGCGCCTCGAGGAGCACCCTGCGCCGCCGCTCCTGCTCCTGCTCCTCCTCCTCCTCCTCCTCCTCCTCCTCCTCCTCCTCCTCCTCCTCCTCCTCCTCCTCCTCCTCCTCCCCCTCCTCTTCCTCCTCCTCCTCCTCCTCCTCCTCCTCCTCCGCCTCCTCGTGGCGTGCGCTCTGGGGCCCGGCGGCCCCCACGCCCTGCCCCCCGCGGCCCTGCGCGTCGGAGCGGGGCGCGCCCTGAAGAGCTGCGGGAGGCCGGGGGACGGAGGAGGCGAGGGCGAGGAGGCAGGAGGGGGGAGTCAGGAGGAGGATGCGGCCGAGGAGGATGAGGATGATGATGATGATGATGATGAGGAGGAGGAGGAGGAGGACGAGGATGATGATGATGATGAGGAGGAGGAGGAGGAGGACGATGAGGATGATGATAATGATGCTGATGATGATGATGATGATGATGATGATGATGGTGGTGATGGTGATGATGTTGGTGATGATGATGATGCTGGTGACGATGATGATTTTGATATTGATGATGACGATGATGATGAGGATGATGATTATGATGGTGATGATGATGATGGTGATGATGATGATGATGATGCTTATTATGATGCTGATGATGGTGATGATGCTGATTAAGATGATGATGTTGATGATAGTGATGATAACGATGATGATGATGATGATGATGATGATGATGATGATGATGATGATTATGATTATGATGATGATGGTGATGATGATGGTGATGATGGTGATGATGGTTATGCTGATTTTGATCATGATGATGATGGTGATGATGCTGATGATGGTGATGATGATGGTGATGATGGTGATGATGGTGATGATGGTGATGATGATGCTTATTATGATGCTGATGATGGTGATGATGCTGATAGTGATGATGATGTTGATGATAGTGATGATGATGATGATGATGATGATGATGATGATGATGATGACGATAACGATGATGATGACAATGGTGATTATGATGCTGATGATGGTGCTGATGATGATGGTGATGATGGTGATGACGATTACGATACTGTTGCTGCTGCTGGTGATGATTATGATGGTGGTGGTGGTGATGGTGATGCTGTTGATGATGATGCTGATGATGATGGTGATGATGATAGTGATGGTGGTGGCGGGAATCATGGTGGTAGTGATGATGCTGCTGATGATGATGATGATGATGATGATGATGATGATGATGATGATGATGATTACGATGATTACGATGATGCTGATGCTGCTGCTGATGATGATGATAATGATGATGACGGTCTGATGGTGATGATACGATGGTGGTGATGGTTGAGATGATGGCGAGGCGGAGGAGATGTAAGCGAAGAAGAGGAGGAGGAAGACCAGCAGCAGCAGGATGCGAAGGAGGACAAGCGGGTGGATGAGGAGGAGCGGGTGATGTGGATACGTATTCCTTTCTCTACATTCCTATCATGTGGGACCCTGCGACTTCCCCCCCCTGAACGGGATCCCCCGCGTCCCTGGCCCCGGGGGCACCCTGGACGCCCTTGCAGACGGTCTCCTGTGCTTCCTGGGGCTCCTGAAGCCCCTGCTGGGCACAGGCAGCGGGCCCAAATCGGTCAGGAGGCCGGCCGAAGGGGCTCCCCGAGAGCCCACAGAGGCCCCAGCTTCCCACCAGACGCCCGCAGACGACCCGAAGAAGACCCCCACCCAAGAGGCATTCGAGACGCAACATAAAATGATGTCGTGCTTCTTTTGTTGTTGCTGCTGCTGCATTTTTGTATGATTTTGGGGAATGCCCAGTTCTTCGGTCGTCCGGGCGTCCGAAGCTGCCCGGGTGTCCAGAGAATCGCCCCAAGGTTAACTGAGAGGGCGGCCAGGCAATCCAAGAGGAGCCCCAAGACGGCCTCACCAGGGCCCCTAGATGGCCCGAAGAGAGCCCCATGACGGCCCAAGATGGCCCCAATACGCCCCCCGAGTCATTCTAAATCGTGACCAGGTCGTTTAGGGAGACCGCGGCTGGAAACAGGATAGCCCAGGAAAGCCCCCAGAGGCCCCCAGAAGGAACCCAGGAGGCCTTTCTCAGGCCCCAAAACTTTTCAAAATGGTCGTACGGTCTCCAAGAGGTTCTCCTCGGATGCGCCTCCACAGAAAGATTTGAGGATGGGGACGAATTCACAGGTAGGGCGTGAATTAGGAAGAGGAAGAGAGAGGAAACATGAGGGAAACATCACGAAGAAATCTTACTACAACGACGATGCTGGACAAGGCAGCAACGAGTTATCGCCAAATGGTTCGTCTTATCTTATTTCCCTGCTGCGCGAAGCGCCAGTGCAGTCTTGTGTATACATACATCTATATATATATATATATATACAGAGAGAGAGAGAGAGAGACAAAAAAACACAGGAGAGAGAAAGAGAGAGGAAAGAGAGAGAGAGAGAGAACAGAGAACAAGACACGAGACAGAGGGGGAGAAGGGGGGGAGGGATGCGGGATGGGGCCCGCCCCGAGGTGCTCCACTTCTCCGGCGCCAGGAGCCTCGCGCGGGTCGCGTGCGGCAGCCGCTTCGGCTTCGTCGTCGCGCACGAGGCACAGCAGAACCCCGCGCTGCTGGTGCTGAAGGCGGGGGGGGGCCCCGCGGCCGCGCGGCCACGGCCCCCCCGTCGGGCCTCGGCCCCCTCTGGTTCGCCCGTCCCCTGCGCTCTGCTCTCCCCCCCTCTCCTCGCTCAGATCCTCCCCCCCGCCCTCGCCCCTCCTCCCCGCTCCTCCCCTCTCCTCCCTCCCCCCTCCGCCCTCGTCGTCCCTCTTCCCCTCCCCTCCTGCCCTCCTGCCCTCTTCGCACCTCCGCCCTCGGTCCTGCCTGCTCCCCTCTCTGTCTTGCCTCCTCCGCCTTCCTCCCGATTCCCGACCACGGTCAGGAGCGTTTGCTTAGTGTGTCGCTCCGCCAGTCCTGGCTCACATCGCCCAGGCCCGACCACGTCCCGGTCCCCAAGCATCAACGGCCCGGCCCTTTTCCCAGCTTCCTGCTTATCCGCCACCTCCTCTCTCCTCGTCCACTGTACACAGACCGCCTTTCCGATTGCGCGTCACCCAATTGGGGCCATGTTGTGGATCATGGTGACCTAGGACACCCTGGCCGACAGACAGAACAGACTTTGCGCAATGGAAAGAGATGGGCGGGAAGGGGCGGATGTCAGATACTCACGCGGGCCGAAAGATGTTCCCCTTGAGCCAGGGATGCCGGAAGCGCCGTGCCGTGGAAGTGAACAGATGTATGTAGCGCTCGCTTCGAATCGGGGCGCGCCACATGTGAAGTGCGGGAGGAGGTGTGGGAGTTGACCGGGCCCGCTATAGCGTTCGAGCAACCGTATGTTATGGGAGGAGCTTGTGTGATGGCCAGGCCCGCTGTGGCGCTCGAGCACCCACATGTTTTGGGAGCGGTCAGGGGAGGTGGCTGGGCCCGCTGGCGTTCGAGCTTCTGGCCTTGACACTTTGCTTGTCTTCGTCCTCCTCGTCCTCCCTCCTCTTCTTCCTCTTCCCTCTCGTCCTCCTCCCCCTCCCTCCTCCCGTCTTCTCCCCCCTCCTGCTTCCTCTCTCCGCCTCCCTCCTTCCTCCTCTTCATCCTCCTCTTCCCTCCTACCTCCCCCTTCCCCTCCTCCCTCATGTGTCCTCCTATATCCCCTCACACCTCCGTCCCTCTCTCTCCTCCTCACCCCTCCCCTTGCCTCCTCCCTCCTCGCCTCTCTTCTCCCTCGGAAAACCATACCCCGTATAATCATAGCACTTGTCTGCAGAGCCACCTGTGGATAGCATGATGCTTCACGTGCAATGACCCGTGAATACAACTTCCTGTGGGTCCAGAAGACGAGGACAACATATCAAATGTATCCACGGTTTTGCACACAGGGAATTTGACCCCCGCAACAGAAATAGGATCAACGAACCTGTCAGACACCCAGAAAAAGGATCATCTTGGATCTTTGATGTTGTCATAATTTAATTCCCAGAGGAAGAAGCTTTCAGACTGGGGATGTACCTCGACCAGCCGTCGGGGCGTTGGTGGCCCTCTGCTGCCACCGACTGCGTATGCCCACCCCGCCCTTGTGCGGCTCTCGCTGCCAGCCATGACCCGACGGGCTCAACCACGCCTCGCGCCCTCACGGCGGGGCCCAGAGCGCCCATCTGGCGGAGACGGTGGCCCTGCCCTGCCCTGCTGCCTTCGCCGAGCGTCCCAGGCACGCCCCCATGGAGATTAAGGCGCTCGTCGGAGGATTCCAGGCCATCCTTGCGGGTGGCCCTTTGCCAGGCGGCCCGCCCCCCCGGACCCCGTCCAGGCCGATCCAAATTGTTGACGCTTCGCGAATCCCCACCAGGTCTTTAGGCTTGCGCGTTGCTAATTTGACAGGCCCGTGGCCCAGACCTCTCAGTTCGGCGACTGCGAATCCGCGTCCGCCCGCGACCAAGAAAGAATCCCCACCAGCCTTACAACTTGCAGACCCTGGCAGTCGGTCGCCCTGGCAGGCAGCCCCCTCTGCAGCCCGCTGCATGTTTGCAGCCCCTGGCAGTGCTGCAGCCCCGCCCCCCTCTCCGGCTTCCTCCTGGTCCCGTTCTGAGCTCCCTGGCAGCCGCAGCCTGCACTCCCCCCACTCGCCGGCTTGCCCGCCGAGGTGCCGCGTGAGGCTCCGGCCCATCGGCTTTAGGTTAATTCGTCTTTGCGCGACCCGCTCTGACTCGACTCGCCGCTGGCGCTCTCGCCTGCGGCTGCTGACTGTAAAGAATCCCCACCAACCCATCCAAAAACGATGCCAGAGGAATTGCCTCGATCAGGGAAGCGGGCAGCACACAGAGGAAGGGTCCCCCAGTGAGCGTCTTGGGGGCCTCTTGGCGGTCCCGGGCGCCTCTTAGAGCGTCTTGGGTGCCTCGGAGAGCTTCTTGGGGCCTCTTGGGGGTCTCTTGGGAGCCTCTTGGAGGCCTCTTGGGCGCCTGTTGGGGCCTCCTGGGGCCTCCTGGACGCCTCTTGGGGCCCTCTTGAAGCGTTCTTGGGAGCCTTGGGAGCGCTCTTGGAGCCCTCTTGGGCCATCTTGGAGCCATCTTGAGGCCTCGGCGAGAAAGCCAAAGACATTGATTTCCCAAAGGTTTTGGAAGGATTTTGGCCTCTTCGGGACCTCCTGGGGGAGCTCTTTGGCCACTTGGAGCCGTCTTGGAGCGGTTTTGGGGCCTCTTGGAGCATCGTGGGCGCCATCTTGAGGCATCTTGGGATATCTGGAGCCATTTTGGAGATCATCTTTGGTTCTCGCAGGCGCTTTTGGAGTCATCTGAAGCAGTGCCCCCCCAGGGGGTCCAAATGTGGCCAAAACCTTAGTAACATCAGCGATTTGGGCATTGTCGCCGAGGCCTCTTGGAGCATATTGGGTGCCTTTGGGGGGCCTCTTCGATGTCTCTTGGAGGTCTCTTGGGAGCCTCTTGGGGGCATCCTGGGGGCCTCCTGGAGGTTTTTTGGGGCTTCCTGGCCCCCTCTTGGGGCCCTTTTGAGGCACCCTTGGGAGCCATGGGGGCTATCTGTGGGCCATCTTGGGCGAGATCGATCACAGGGGAGGGGGTGTTGAATTAGCGCCCCCCCCCCCCGCAAGAGGCCAAAATGGGGTCAAAATCATAGTAAAATCAATGATTTTGGCTTCCTCGCCGAAGCCGTTTTGGACGCCCTGACACCTCGCGGCCCCACCCTCTCCAGGTCCAGGGTATGGGGGGAGGGGGAGGGGTCAAGACCCCCCCCCGCCTGCAAGCCGTCTCGCTCACTCCCACGCGCCCTCCCAACACATACGTAGCACCCGAGTCTGGCCCGAGCCTCAGCATATTCAGCAGTCGTCTTTGGATGGGTAGCTACTGGGGGCCAATCCGCCGCCGCCACCGCCGCCGCCGCCGCCGCCTCCGCCGCTGCAGCCGCTGCCGCTACCGCCACCGCCGCCGCCGCCGCCACCGCCGCCACCGCCGCCGCCGCCGCCGCAGCCGCCGCAGCCGCCGCCGCAGCCGCCGCCGCAGCCGCCGCCGCAGCCGCCGCCGCCTCCGCCAAGTGTACTCTTTATTGTTTTTTGACAGGGATGGTGGTGGGGGGGCGCATCGGGTTGGCTGCGCATGTTCCGAATTTGGAGGCAGAGTGTGTGTGTGTGTGTGTGTTTGTACTGTTTGTTTACAAGGGATTGTGGGGGGGGGTCGTCATGGTCCCTGGTTGGCCCCCAGTCGCCTGGGGGAGGGGGTGTTTAGTAATAGGGAACAGTGATAAACCCCTCCCCGAAGGGGAAGAAGGAGGGGTGGAAGAGGAACCTCTCTAAACCACCGACGCCCAGAGGGCTGGTGGGATTTCACCCGCGTCGGTAAGGTGGCCCGTCACTTCATCATGGACGGAGCCGAAGCGGGCCTCACCAGCGCCCTGGGGAGTACGACCACCAGGTCGACGAGCTCGCCACGCAGGCGAGCCTCACTCACCGCCTGCCGCCCCCTCTCCCCCCGACGCTGTCCAGGCGGCCGTTCGCCGACACTGCAAGACCATGGGCCCTCCACAGGACCGCGGCCACCCCCATACGACCTGCGGCACTGCATGTGCGGCCCGTGACTCATCGCCACGTCGGCTGCTGCACAGGCGAAGCTCGACGCCGCAGGGCCGCATCCCGGCCCTGCTCGCACTGCCGCGGGCGCGCCTCGCGCCGCCGCGGCGGCCAGGGCGGCCGCGCTGGCCGACCACGGGGCCGCCATGGCCGAGGCCGGCGCTGACGCAGGCCCGCTCGGCCTGGGACACCGCTGCGGGGCCCGGGCCCTCCCGGCCACGGGCCCCCGCGGCCTCCCCTCCGCGCTCCGTGGGCTGCCCCTGCTGCCTCCTCTGCGGCCCGCCGCCGCCCCCATACGCGGCGCCGCCCTGGCGGCGCGGCGCCCGGATGGGAGCCCGGAGGCCGCTCCGGCCGTCGGTCCCCGGGGGGCCGGCCCGACTTGGAGTGCGACCCTCCCCCTAATCTACCCTCTCCTCCCCCTCCCCTCCCCCTCCTCTCCTCCTCCTCCCCGCCTCCTCCTCTCCTTTTCCTCCTCTCCTCCTCCTCTCCTCCTTCCTCCTCCGCCTCCGCCTTTTCCCCTCCTCCTCCTCCTCTTCCTCCTCCTCCCCTCCTCCATCCTCCGCCCTCCTCCCGCCTCCTCCTCCTCCGCCTCCTCCCCCTCCCTCCTCCTTCCTCCTCCTCCTCCTCCTCCTCCCCTTCCTCCTCCTCCGAGCGTGCTCGGGCAGGGTCTCGGCCGCAGCCCCGCCGTCCTCCGCTGCGCCCGTGCAGGGAGCGGCAGCGGTGGCCATCTGAGCGCATGTCCGCGCGGGCGCCTCCGCCCCGCTGGCCCGTCGCAGCTGCGCGCGTCTCGCCCTCGCTGCGATTTTTGGGCCAGGGCCCCCTGGCCGTTTTTCCAGCTTTCCTCCCTGCGTGCAGAGTGCGGTTTTGGTTTTCTTCCCATCCGCGTCACACCTCTCACCCCCTCTCCCTTCCCTCCTCTCCCTCCGCGCACACATCCCCACGCCCGCGTCGCACGCCTCTCCTCCTCCTTCTCGCTCGTATGCACACGCGCACGCACGCACGCACGCACGCACGCACGCACGCACGCACGCACGCACGCACACGCACGCACGCACGCACGCACGCACGCACGCACGCACGCACACGAACACGCACACGCACACGCACACGCACACGCACACGCACACGCACACGCACACGCACACGCACACGCACACGCACACGCACACGCACACGCACACCAACACACACACACACATGCCATCAAACATTTATATACATACAATCACACACGCACCATATGTATGCAACATAACAGACGGCACCCACGTGATACATGCGTCCACGAACAGTCGTACACACATCATACACATACACTACATATATACGCAGACGCAGGACTAGTCACTCACATGACACGCGCACCACACAACACAACACATACGCGTAGGATTTGCAGGGCTGGGCAGGCGTTGCACTCTCCAGACCACGGGGGGTGTGCAGGGAGTGGTACCTCACCGCGTTCTCTATCTGTTTCAGGGTCGCGGGGCGTGGCAGGCATGGCATTTTCGCCGCACTGCAGGGGGTGTGCAGGGGGTGGTCTCTCACCGCGGTCTCTTTCCGTCTCAGGGTCGCGTGGCGTGGCAGGCGTGGCACTTTCTCCACACCACGGGATGCGCAGGTGGTCCCTGACGCCGGTCTCTATCCGTGTCGGGGTCGCGTGGCTTGGCAGGCGTGGCATTGTCTCAGCACCACAGGGGGTGCGTCAGGGGGGTGGTCCCTCACCGCGGTCTCTATCCGTCTCAGGGTCGCGTCGCGTGGTAGGCGTGGCGCTTTCTCCATACCACAGGGGGTGCGCACGGGGTGGTATTTCACCGCGGTCTTTATCCCTCTCAGGGTCGCGGGGCGTGACTGGCGTGGCACTTTCCCCACGCCACGGGGGTGCGCAGGGGGTGGTCCCTGACCGTGGTCTCTATCCGTGTCAGGGTCGCGCGGCGTGGCAGGCGTGGCACTGTCTCCACACCACACGGGGTGTGCAGGGGGTGGTATCTCACCGCGGTCTCTATCCGTCTCAGGGTCGCGGAGCGTGGCAGGCTTGGCACCTTGTCCACACCACCGGGGCTCGCAGAGGTTGGTCCCTCATCGCGGCCTCTATCCGTGTCGGCGTCGCGTGGCGTGGCGGGCGAGGCCACGACTTCTGAACGTGCCGAACCCTGGCGACATGGGGCACATACGTGTGGGCATGCTGGCGACATTCACCGTCAACGCGTCCAGGCGCAAGGGCTTGGTGAAGGAGCAGGAGGCCACCATCGTGAGCTTCGTGTCCCACGAGAGGGGAACAGCACAGGTACGACGTGTGCGCTCCGGGAGTGATCTTCCGGCCATTCTGCCGGCGTATGCATGCAGGTGGACAAGCTCCGCAAGGCCCAGACGTGGTCGATGCCCTAAGGAGTTCTTTCGACATCCAGTGCCAGAAGGCGAACGGCCTTTTTTTGATTCCCGCCGATGGGGGCGAACTTCAAGTGACGCAACGTGGCGTCGCTCGAACGTGTGCATTTTTTCGCGGCGAGGACCATCGAGGAACATCTTTGATCATTGAGCGGCAAATACACGCACGAAATCGAAAAATGCACGGGGAATGGACGTCCGATCGATGGCGAGGCAACGCCAACAGAACACAGGAACCGCAGGCTGGGATGCGCGCTCACGCACGTGCGTTTCCTTACGTCCGCTGCTTCACATGGCCAGGCGATACCCACCGAGGTGACCAGCGATTGCGCGCAGGACGCGAGCAGTGTCAGATTGCAGAACAGAGCGGAGAATTGCTGGCCGCATCTGTACGCGGTGTTCAGCAAAGCCACCTGCATGTATGATATGCTTTCGCTTCGGCCGCCGCCGAAGGAGGTCTTGCAGAAAGGCGCGCCTCCGTCCGCACTGCAAGCCCTCGCGAAGTTTGATGAGGAGATGGCGAAGGAGGCGCGGGAGATCGCGGACCTCGCGCTACAACGGAAATGGCCCTCTCCAGGCGCGTGGGGTCTCCAGAGTGCACGGGCCCGCGCGCTTCTGATGGCCATAGGCTTTCCGTCGAAGTGGTCGTAGGTCTTGGACGTATTTGCGAAGTCTGTCCGTCGACAGGTGTTGCTTCGCTTTCGCGCAATGCAATGCGCGTGCGGCTCCGGGACTCTGTCGAAAGGTCGCCGTGTGCCCTCAATGCCTTGCTTCAGCCGTGGCCCATGTCCAGTAGGATTTGTTGCGACGGTCTACGTTTGCCTGCTATTTCCTTGCGCGCGCGCGCGCGAAGCTCAGGGATTCTCCGTCGAAGGGGTGGAGGGAGAGACGCGGAACATGCGAGAGAAAAAACTGGCCGACCTCAGGGGAAAATGCGAGGGAGGGTGGGGCGAGGGAGAAACCAGCAGGATGTGGAGGAGAAATAGTCCTTCTATCCCGCGCGGGGATTTAGTACCTGACCGAGATGTTGAGCTTCTGCGCATTGGATGTTATTCCGCTAAGTGTCCCCGCTGGTGCCGAAGCTATCACGGCACTGAGGGTGGGATTTATACACGATTCTGCATAGGACCCCATGGATAACCACGATGTGGCAATGCTTTGCGTGACGTACTTGCTCACTACTGCTCCAGGAAGCGGCCCTCGGCTACCATCCCGCATCTTGCCACGCTGGACATCAGATTCGGTGGAAGAGGGGAGTTCAGGTAATGCTGCGTTTGATGCCGCTGTGCGAACACTGTGGCGGCGTGAAAGAATCGTGGTATTGCGCACACGATACATGGACACGCAACAGGTAAACTACTATGCCACTCGCTGATGTGGATTAAGTACGTTGGGCCCCTCGGTAGCGAAACTCCTCGGGGGCCTGATGTGCGGCGCCCGCTTGCGTGCAGCAGTTGCGCGGGCCTGCGCAGGCAGCGGCTAACGCGCAGCATGGCGGGCGATGGCCTCCCCGCGCGTTCCCGTCCGCCGCCCCGTAAGTCGGCAAATGCCGCGTGGGTGCTGGCTGGTCTGGTCAGCCGCTTTGGGCGTGGGTGCCCTCCTTCCGCTTCGTGCGACGTCGCCCTTTCCTTTTTACTCTCGCGTGCTCGTTCTCTCTCTCTCTCTCTCTCCATTTCTCCCTCTCTCTTTCTATCCCGCCCTTGCCTCCCTTCTCTTGCTCCCCCTCTCTCTCTATATCGCTCGTTCCCTCACTGCTTCCCTCCTTCTCTCCCTCTTCCTCCCTCTCTTCCCTCTCCCGTCCTCTCCCGCCCTCCCTCCCTTCCTCCCCCCCTCCCTCCCTCGCCCTTTGCCTCCTTCCCCCTCCTTCTCCGTACCTCCCTCCCTCCCTCCCTCTCTTTCCTCGCCTTCCCTTCGGCCGCGGCCCTGGCACTTCCTCCCCCGCAGGGCAGGCCCGACGACGTGGCGCGGGAGCTGCGCGAGAGGCTCGCGTCGCGCCCGACGGTGGCCTTCCTGCAGTACAGCGGACCGCCGCGGGGCGTCCCTCGCCCTCCCTGCCCGCCCCTGAGAGCCGGACGCCCCCAAGCGCAAGTCGACGCCACCTCTCCTGCGCGAGAGGCTCGCGTCGCGCCCGGCGGCTGGTGGGAGGTGGAGGAGGAGGAGGAGGGAGGAGGAGGAGGGGGAAAGAGGAGGGAGAGAGAGAGAAGTGGGAAAGAGGAGGGAGATAGAGGAAGGAGAAAGAGGAGGAGGAGGAGGAGGAGGAGGAGGAGGAGGAGGAGGAGGAGGAGGAGGAGGAGGAGGAGAGGAGCTGATGGGGGGGAGAGAGGACAAAAGGAGGAGGAGGAGGAGGAGAGGAACAAGCAGGGGAGGAGGGGGAGGAGGATGAGGAGTAGGAGAGGAAGGAGAGGAGAGGAAGGAGGAGAGAGAGAGGGAGGAGGGGGAGGAAGAGGAGGATGATGAAGGAGGAAGGAGGAGGAGAGGAGGATGGGAAAGGAGGAGGAGGAGGAGGAGGAGAGGAGGAGGAGGAGCAGTGGAAGGGAGGAGGAGGAGGATGAAGGAGGAGAGGAGGAGGAGGAGGAGGAGAGAGGAGGAGGAGGAGGAGAGACAGACGGGGCACGCGACAGCGACAACTATGTAAGATCAGCGGAGGAGCAGGGGGGGCGCTCTCGCAGCAGAGCGGGCCGCCGCGGGGCGCTCCTCGCTCTCCCTGCCTTGGCTTGTCGGAGCCGGGCGCCTTGAAGCGCAGGTCGAGACGTCACCTTTCCTGCCACGTTCGGCTGGGGACTCGGGCGCCCCCACCTTGTCGGCGCACTCCCTCCCGCCTTTCTCCTCTCCCCTGCCCCTGCCTTCCGCCCCTCCGCTTCCTTCCTGTCCCCTCTCCTTGCCCCCGTTCCCCCCCCCCTCGCTTCGCCGGTCTCCTCCACTGCACCCCCCAGTCCTCCGCCCCCCCTCCCCAGTGCTCCGTCCCCCCTCCCCGCCCCGACTCTGCCCCCTCCCCCTTCCCCATCACCCCCATCCCCCCCCGCCCCCCCCATGCCCCCCACCCCCACCCATGAGGGATGAGTGATGAGTGATGAGTGATGAGTGATGAGTCATGGTGATGGTGATGATGGTGATGATGGTGATGATGGTGATGATGATGATGATGATGATGATGATGATGATGATGATGATGATGCTGTTGCTGATGCTGATGCTGATGCTGATGCTGATGCTGATGCTGATGCTGCTGCTGATGATAATGATAATGGTGCTGCTGATGATGACGATGATAAAACTGATGATGGTGATGATAGCGATGATGATGATGATGATGATGATGATGATGATGATGATGATGACGATGACGATGACGATGACGATGTATGATGCTGATGCTGTTATTGCTGATGATGATGATGTTGGTGATGGTGTTTGCGACGATAGTGATGGCGACGATGATGGTGACGACGATAATGATGATGACGATGAGGATGAA